TAAACATTGAAAAAGTCAATTTTTAAAAATGATGGAACATTAATTTTTTTTATGCTAAAAACGGTCAAGTAGGCCATTAAGCTTACAAAAACACCAGAAATATGTCTGTTAGTTTTTATGTTTACACATGCGGGTTTGACAAATGTCGGTAAATTTAATACTTATTGTCTGGTTTATTTTGTTTAAACAAATCGCTTAAGTTTAAGACATTACAGTTAAAGGTGGATTAACTTTTTGACATAAACTATGAGTGGGCCAGATGCAGGCAAGTTCAAGGTTTTATACCATTTAAATTTTATGGATTTCTTAGCGAATTTACAAAAAAAAATAATGATTTAGTGAACGCATGTAAAAGCAAAAATTAACATATCACTTGAATATTTCACCAGAGATATATCATCGACATTGAAGTACACGTTTTTGTTGATGCTATCAAACTCTCCAGTACTTAAGCTTTATTATCGAAAAAAAAACTTTTGCCGAATTTTGCCTATTCAGGAGAAAACGCAAGATTTTCTGTGTGGTCTTTTACAATTTGATTCAAAATAAAGCTCTATTTGGGTATTAGTTGAAAGGTTATTAGGCCTAGATTGTAAAAGAATTTTTGAATATGTTAACTGTCATTTTGAAAGTTTTGACGTTTTTTTCTAAATGTCATTTAAGGAAATTTTAGTGGTTTTAATGGATTTTTTAATTTTGTTTTGTTTAATCGTTTGAGCTGTAGTGCCTATAAATTGGCACAGTAATTTTAAAATACCCTGAAAACAAGAAACATTTATTAATAAAAATCAAAATAGTTGAGTTTTTTTAAATATATAAAAATATATATACAGTGTGACCCATTTGTTTGCGACTCACCCCTGTAAAACCTTTATTTTTTGTGCGATTTTAACCGGATTTGTTTTAAAGTGTAGATCTTGATAAACTGTATTTTTGGAGCAAAAAACGCCATATTTGTACAAAATACAAGGCCTACTATGCCAGTTTTTTAAGAGTAAATTTTTAAGAATTCATATTAGCAATTTTTTTAAACAAAATCTAAGCACGGCACTGGATTCACCACCCCTCAAAACGACCCTTTACTAAATTTTATTGAAAAATTTTAAGTAGAAAATTGCACAATAATATCTACAAAAATTTATTCTGTCAAGTTATTCATGAAAAACACATTGAAATAAAATTAAACTAATAGTAATTTTATTTCAATGTTTTGTATTTTGTAAAAATATGGCGCGCCAGAAATTTTCTAAACATTGAAAAAGTAAATTTTTAATAATTAATTTAATTAAGTTTTCTTATGCTAAAAACGGACAAGTATTCCATTAAGCTTACAAAAACACCAACAATTTGTCTGTGACTTTTTATGTTGACACACGCGGGTTTGATAAATGTCAGTAAATTTAATTCTTATTGTGTGGTGTATTTTGTTTAAACAAATCGGTTAAGTTTAAAACAATACAGTTAAAGGTGGATTAACTTTTTGGCATATACTATGAGTGGGCCAGATGCAGGTAAGTTTAAGGTTTTATACCATATAATTTTATAGATTTATTTGCAAAGTTCCGGAAAAAAATAATGATTTAGTGAACGCATGTAAAAGTAAAAATTAAAATGTCACATCGATATTTCACCAGAGATATATCAAGATCTACACTGAACTACACGTTTTTGCTGATGTTCTTAAACTCTCCAGTACTCAATCTTTATTATCGAAAAAAAAACTTTTGCCGAATTTCGGATCCAGGAGAAAACACAAGATTTTCTGTGTGGTCTTTTACAATTTGATGCAAAATAGAGCTTATGGCGTATTAGTTGAAATGTTATTAGGCCTAGATTGTAAAAAGTTATTTGAATAGGTGATCTGTCATTTTGAAAGTTTTGACGTATTTTCGAAATGTCATATTTGAAGGCAATTTTAGTGGTTTTAATGTTTTTTTAAATTTTTTTCAAATTCAAACGTTTGAGCTATGGTGCCTATAAATTGGTAGAGTAATTTTAAAATACCCTGAGTCAAAAAACACTTATTATTAAAATATATTAAAATATCAAAATGCGATTTTTTGTTAAATATATTATTAAAGAATATTTTATTAGAAATAAAAAATATTTATTGTTAAAATATCGCCCTGTAACTGTGTTTCAGATAAATGTATGGAAAAGTTGTCGGATATGAAACAAAAACGTGTAGTGTTTTAACTTTTTGATTAAAGGATCATTTTTTTTCTCTGATCTTTATAGAGGGAAGGGTCCACAGGATTCAGGTCAGAACCCTATTTGATGGTGGGTTGAAACGAAATGAAATAAAAGAAACTCTTTTGACTGCGGTGTGCCAAAAGTGTTGCCAGCAAAATCAAAAAAGAATACAAGATATAGCTAAGAATTACTCTACTCAGTTTCGTAGAAGATGGCTTGCAGTAAATAGAACTAAGCATGTTTTTTTCAGCAAAAATGAAAATTGGTTGAAGAAGTTTTTGTTTTTGAACTGCATTTCTGGCAAGCATCCTGATGGTGTTGGAAGACCAAAATTAGAATTTGAACAGCTCACCTACAGCGGTAAATTTCGAAAAACTGAAAATTTAAGAAAATCAGATAGTAATGAACTTCTGTTTGCAGTTCAGATGAACTTGAAAGCCAATGGCAAAAAAAGACCGCTAAAAGTATTCGCAACCTTGTTCAGAAAAATAATATTCCGAACGAACCTGATGGCAGTAAAAGCCAATTGAGCAGTGAAAGAGCCCTGGCTTTGACAGTGGATGCTAGATTATCTAAAAGACAGTATCAAGAGTTAAGAAATATAGCAAAGGAAAATAACTCCAATCTCTATCCTCCATATAACCAAATTAGAGAAGCCAAAAAGTTGTGCTATCCTAACGATATTACAGCCACTGACCATTCTGTCTCCGTAAAACTTCAGTCATTACTGGATCATACGACTTGTAGATTACTTTCAACTCTAGAATTGGATGGTTTTAAAAGCTTGAAGAAATGTGAATTAATTATGATTTCAAAATGGGGTATGGATGGTAGTTCTGGCCAAAAAGAGTACAGGCACTGTCAGGCAGGCTTTTGAAAGTAATTATTCAGATAAAAATTTACTTTTGACATGTTTGGTTCCACTGCAGATATACACTTGGAATAAAAAAAATGAAAAGATTTTAATTTGGAATAATCCTATGCCTTCATCCACAAGGTATTGCAGACCATGTAAAATACAATTTTTAAAAGAAAATATTGAAGTATCAAAAAGCGAATATGCCGTTATGCAAGCCGAAATTGACAATTTAATGCCAACAAAGTTTCTAATAAATAAACATCATTATAATATAAAACATGAACTTTACATGACAATGATCGACGCAAAAATGATAAATTCTTTAACTGATACTTCGTCGCAAAAATGCTATTTATGCGGGGCTGCACCAAATGAAATGAACGACATAGAAAAGGTCTCTAAAAAACCTATAAAAGATGAATATCTAAAATTCGGGATCACATCTCTCCACATTTGGATACGATCCTTTGAATGCCTCTTAAAAATTTCCTATCGTTTACCACTTAAAAAGTGGCAGGCACGCTGGTAACGACAAACTTATTATTAACGAACAAAAACGTAAAATTCAAATTAAATTTAAATCTCTCCTGGGAATTATCGTTGACCCAACCAAAACAGGGCAGTGGTACTTCAAATGATGGAAACTGCGCAAGAATTTTTTTCCGAAACTATGATATTTCTGCTGAAATTACAGGACTGGACAAAACCTTAATATACAGATTTTTTGTCATCTTACAAGTTATTGCTAGTGGATTTAATGTAAAGAAAAATGAATTTGACACATATGCAATGGAAACTGCTAAATATTTTGTATCGAAGTATCCCTGGTACAAAATGCCAGCGGGCATTCACAAAATGCTAATACATGGTTCAGCCATTGTACAATCAGCACCCATGCCAATAGGACAGTTTTCCGAAGAAGCCCAAGAGGCACGCAACAAGGAATACAGGAGATATAGGGAACACCACTCCCGAAAATTTAATAGAGTTGCCACAAATATTGATGTCCTTAATAACATGCTTGTTTCATCTGATCCAAAAATTACTAGTTTAAGAAAAAGACTTTCAATTCAAAAAAGAAAATTTTGCCCAGAGGCACTGAAATTATTGCAGCCAGCTGCAATAAATGGTTGTTTTGATAGCGATACAAGCTCCGATAGTGATTCCGACTAGGAAAGTTGGGCAACCAAAGCTATACTTTCCTTTGTTTACTTAAATGATTATTTAGTTATCGCAGTTCTATAGTTATTATTAAATACTTTAATTTCAAGTATAGCCTTTTAAATAAATTTTTTGCATAAATCAGCTTTTTCAATCTTATACCTTTGACATTTTTTCGATTAACTGTTACCTATTTTTTGCCTATGTCTATGAAAATATATATTATTTTTCAAAAACTGTTGAAAAAGACATAATTTTTATTTGACAGATTCATTAGTTTTTACAAGATATAGGTATAGGCTCTTAAAACTGTATTTGTGAAATTATTTCCATTTTGACATCCTATATCTTCTATTACAAACACAATAACTTCAATAAGTTTTACAATTTTGCCCTAGTGGGTTAAGTTTGCAAAATGAGAAAATATCATTAAATATTACTTTGTTCCCACAATCTTGCGTTGTCTGGGCAGCTGTTTATAAGTAAAATTAACTTATTTTTCTTTGTTTTTGATAATTACACGATCAAAATTGATACATTTGTTGACTTTGATATTTTTCAATGTTTTACAAAATCCTGGCCCACAGTGCGTCGCTCGTTTATAACGTAATTAATGACGTCTCTAAGGTCATTTTAGTGACCAAAATTTGACGTCAATATAACGGCAGCGTGTTTGCTGGGTAAAGTGTTATTTAATTTAATTTTCAAACAAATTATTCTGGCTTATTCCAGTTTGTATACCTTCATAGAGAATAAAAGTAGTGCAATCTTTATTAAGTAAGAGATTTTAAATTTATGATCTGATAACATTCGTTTATAAAAATGTTAAAATTTTATAATAAACAAAAACTTTAATCACGCTCAAAATTGGGTACAAAAAATATTAAATAAAATGGATTTTACACCATCAGAAAATTTGTTATTAAAAAATTCCGAAGTTAAATTAAAAGTTTATCGAAAACGATGGATAATATTACTTATTTACGTATTGTATTCTTCATTAAATGCTTTTCAATGGATGGAATATTGCATTATTGAAAATGTGGTAAAAAAATATTACCTAATTAGTTCTGTGGAAGTGGACTGGACATCAATAATTTATATGGCGCTATATCCCATACTAGTGATTCCTGCTTCTTACATCATAGACAGATTTGTAAGTACAAATATTTAAACACATTTATATTTATCTTCAACTGCTTAACTTATAGCATTGATTAAGGTCTTCACTCAACGCTTATAGATTAAAAGGTTGTTAAACTTTTAATTTTAGGGCTTACGAACAGCTGCTATAATTGGAGGATTCGGCACTGCCATAGGAGTTATAGTAAAAATATTTTCTGTAAATCAAAATTATTTTTATATAGTTTTAATTGGACAAGGTATTGGTTCCGCTGCCCAAGTATTTGTGCTGTGTCTTCCGTCAAAAATTGCAGCTATTTGGTTTGCACCCAACGAGGTAACTAATGGTAATTTTGATTAATATTTTTAAAATAAATAACATTTTATGCTTATAAATCCAATTTTTAATAATTTTATTTTATAACGTTTGTCGCTTGTTGCTTCTAAATAAAAGTAAAATAAAGGTGACATTACACAACCATTTTTGTTTAAAGGTTGTAGACTTGTTGAACGAAAGAAATGTTTTGGACTTCCATTGTCTTAGTATTTTTAATCACGACGTTTCTATAGAATACCAGTATACTGGTAGGTATACCTATATATATATATGCCCAGTTGTCGGGTGCACACTTCAACTTTAAAATAAGGGAAGATGACGAGATTAAAATTTTGCGCAGTAATTAATTAGTTATTAGGCTTATAATTATTTCTAAATCTGTATAAATTATAAATCAATAAAGGGGATCTCTACCATTTCTCGGTCATTCTCTGCCACTAGTTTTTGGCATAGAAATAGCAGAGAAACGGCAGAGAAAACTACCAAAAACTAGTGGCAGAAAATGGCAGAGAAACTGTTTCTCTGCCAAAAAGTAGTAGCAGAGAAAACGGCAGAGTAAATGAACAAATGGCAAACAAAAACGACAGAAAAATGGCAGAAAACGGCAGAGAAAATTTCTGCAAGTGTCCTTTTGTGATAGATATAAATAACTGTTCTATTGAGGATCTTGTAAATTGTTGTAATTTAAATTTATAATTAATTTTATTGTTAGAAAAATCATAATAAAACTACATATGATTTTTAAATAGAAGAGTTTAGTTATTTATGATTAAATACACATTTTGTGAAGTTGAACTCTTGACCAAAGAAAACAACTTATTTTATTAATTTATGAAAAAAATTTTGTTTACTCTCAATTCAATCATGTTAAAGTTGTATGTTTTTAGGTATCAACAGCATGTTCATTGGGAATCTTTGGAACACAGCTTGGATTTGCATTGGGTTTTGTGGGTACCATCTGCAATCGTAAAAAATGAAAACGACATTAAAAAAGTTGAGGAACAATTAAATCTTTTATGTGGTGGTCTTGCGGCCATCATGATACCAATATCTAAATATTACAAAAAATGGACAAGAAGTAGTGTTTTACTAGATAGATATTTTTGCGAACTGAATTTTACTCTGTCGACCGTATTCCGCTATCAGGTAAGATTTTTGAGATTTTATATGGTAGCAATGCCGCATATCCAAATCTTTACTTGCTGAATAAATGTTATATTGATTGATCTCAGAAGCAGCAGTTTTAAAAACTACATAATGGTTTGTTACTGCACAGGCTGCTTCAGACATTTTGGTACCCCGTGCAAAAATATTTTTACTGCCTCTCATAGTTACCTACTTTTTAGTGCCCATTAATTAGGTATAATTTCTAACAAAAAACTACCTTAATAATATCGTCCCCTTGATGCTACAATTGGATATCTGGAAAAACACATTTATAAATAAAATATTCTAAAATTGGTATGTAAGTATTAAGTAGAACTGGATTCGTAAAATTTTGAGTTATCCAGTTGTAGCATTAAGGGGAAGATAAAATTAACAAAAAAGTTTAAAAAATTATTATTTAATAACAAATAAATAAAATATCATCGCATTCTAAAAAAACAGTAATATATTCTAATAATAATTATTTTATATAACATTAGTAAACTGACTAGTAGTAAAAATAAGAAAAAATCTGTTTACAAACAAAAGTATAAGAAAAGGAATGCGTTCTGGCTTTTTGTTCAGCTAAAGTTAAAATTAAATTGGAAATATCTAATTTTGAACCTATATCTTGTTATATTGAATAACTTTTTGCCGCCTTTCGATTTTTGCCGCCCTTCGATTTTTGCCGCCCCGTGCAGGGGCACGATGTAAAAACTTGACATTCCAGCGCGTAGGCAAAAAAAATTTCGGTGGGAGGTTTGGTAAAATTTAAAAAAAATAAAACTGTAAAGATTAAAAAACTTGTTAGGATTTTTTTAAATCCTAAAACAACTGTTTCTCACATATTTGACCGATATTATTTAAATGGATGATCTTAAATTGTCGCATGTGTATAATAATAATAATAATATAATTTAAATAATTTACCGATTTATGAATATTTTCCTGTCATTAAAATGTCATTTAGACCAAGGTAAAACGACATCGGAAAAAAAGTTTTCAAAATTGTTTTTAGACTGTTAACAAATAATTTACCCAAGTAAAAAACAACTTGGGAAAAAACGGACATCCTAATGTACATTGTACAATTTATGACAAAAGAGGTAGTTAATTTGGCCGTTCGCATTTAAGGAAAAGTGCACCCAGTATACTATAGTTTTTCTGTATGCAAAAAACACTCTTGATAATCATGTGGATTACCTTTCTTTAAATACAGTGCAGCAAATTTGCTTGTTAATTAACGATGAAACTTAATAAAGCCATGCGAAGTTGGATCTCTCAATCCTTGGACCTTAAAACGAAGCTCCATTTGTATAATGTAATTTTTAAAACACGGCGTTTAATAATGTATTTTTTCTACTCCCACCTTTAAAACGACCATTATCGTACATGTTTCCATGACACTAAGTGGCCTTTTAAATACACATTGACAAGTTGTGGCTTTACGGCGTTTTAGTCACGGGATGAAGTTAGTTGACAGTTGTCAAATGTCATACAATCGTTAAAATAAAGTGCCTTTCTTGTAAAATAATACTAAATGTGAAAATTATTTTATTATCTCAATACAAAAGTATTAAATAGTTTCTCAACGCCAATATTTGAAAAGTTTATATGAACATTGTACTGACCTTTTAATTTCGCCGGCAGTAAACTATAACTTAAATTCGGACACGGACTCCACTGTAAAGTGCTCATAAAACATTTTCTTTACTTTTACTGTAAAAAAACTGTCCATTTTCAAGAAATACATTTCGATTTATAACCTTTATAATCTGTGTTTATAAAATATTTTAAGATAATAAGTATTTGTCATACAAAAAGTATAGTATGCACCTCGTTTATAAACTTTTCTATACACTCATTAATTTAAGAACTCGCTCGCAAGCTCGCTCGTGCCTAAATTAAATTCTTGTATAAAATGGCGTTTATCAAACTTGATACATAATATACTATTAATCCGCAACATAAAGTTTGGTATTTAAACGGTGGATTTCTCATAAAAAAAAATAATATGAATTATGCTCTGCAGGTTTTTAATTTCAAGATATAGGTAATTAAAATTAAAAATATATATAATTGTGGAACACTAAATGAAAAAGCTTTTGCTATATTTTTAATGCTTATTCTGTCATTTTTTATTCTGGATCATGGCAAACTTGATACTGTTTCTCTTACCCTTATTTACCTACGTAGGATGTGGGTAAACAGGTATTTACAAAGAAAAAGCAGGAGAAAAATGTTGTTTATATAAAAGCCAACGGTGACCCACAAAGTCAATTTTTTGCTTCAACAACTAAACAGGGTAAACCATAAAAACAAAAAGGACAAATTTAACAATGTTAATGGCGCACTTACCAAAAAGTTTTTCCCGTTAAGGTTGACACAAAGATGCATGCTTCGTTGACATCAGTGGCGGAATAACGTATCCACGGGCCTGAGTGCGAAAATTTTGGAGGGCCCCTATTATGATACGAAGTATTTATAACCAGGGCCGGTTTTAGAGCCAAGCAGTACAAGCGACTGCTTGAGGCGCCAAAGCAAAAGGGCGCCTAATACGTCGCGTTGTAATAAAAATACCATTTACGTATGCAAACAGCCAAACTAAAATTTATTTATTATTATTTATTTTAAGATGTATACATCTTTCGGCAAAACATGGAGAATATCTTGCAAAAATGGAGGTAGCCGTCGCCGTTTAAACAGTTTGCTACAATAAATGGTCCAATTAACATTTATAAATACCTAATGCATTTACGGAAAACCGATTTTAAAATAGCTATAGACATGGCTTTACCCATGACTAAAATCCATGTTAAAAAGTTATTATTTTATTATTCTTTAATTTTTAACTTTCTGTTATTTAAAAACCCGTAAAACACAACTAAAAAAACGATTATTATTATGATTATAATTATTATTTACTAAGTAATTTATGTTACGTCCTGTATATTTCGCAAAATCCTAGTCTTTTTATTTTTGTTAGTTTATAAAGCCATTTACAAAGGTTATGAGTGATTATTGTTGATTTCACGTATGAAAAAAGTTTTATAATAATTGCATTTTTTAAATTTTTTACGAAATTTGATAAAATTTTTTAAATAATTTATAATTACAATCTGATAGCAATAAACTGCAGCGACAAAATAATACATTACTTAGTAGGTAATGGATTATTTTTTGTAGGTACATCTTTTGGCTGATCGAGTCTAAAACCATATTAATCATGATATTATTTTAGGATGCTGAAAATGATGTTGGATTAATGGGTTTTACCATGGCAATTGTTGGTATGCTTGGTTCTATAATTTTTGGATATATTTTAGATAAAACACACAAATATAAGTAAGTTTAAAGAATTATCTCATTTTTCATTTTTAAACTTTCATAAGTCGGAGATAATTTTTGAGGTAGTTTAATGAATTTTAACAAGTATGGTTTTATTATAAATAACAATGGGTATACAGTACCTACCTCATTTGAACTTGGTGGGTCACATTTTAATTACAAATTTTAGGGAATCCACGCTATTTATATACTTATCTTGCGCTCTAGCCATGGGATTATTTCATTATGCTCTAGAAATTCGGGACAAAAGATTGGTTTACCTGGCAATTTCTATAGTAGGGTAATTGGTAAAACAATATTATTTAAAAAAATATTAATTATCAAATGGTTTTAGTTTTTTTACGAATGCTTACATGCCTGTAGGATTCGAATTTGCCGTAGAGCTAACTTATCCTTTAGATGAAGGAACCACAACAGGAGTGTTAAATGCCATGACCCAAGGACTTGGAGTGATATTTACTATTTTTCTTGGACAAATGAATGCTATTTATGGTCCATATTTTGTGCTTTTTTGTGAAACTGGACTTATGTTCCTTGGAACTCTTGGGACTGTTTTTATTCCCAACGAATTAAAAAGACAAAAAGCTTTGTTGTACAATAAAGCGATTTTAAAACAGGCAAATATTTCTATTTGATTGTCCGAAGCTTTTGTACACTGTGTTTTTAAAGTGATTTTAATAAATTAATTTAGAAAAAAATATTTATTTCAATTCTAAAAATTGATCAAGAAAAGTAGATTATTCTATAAGCGAAGAAAAGTGATAGCTTTCTTTTGTGTTGAAATACGCCACGCTCGTAAATAACATTTCCACAATAGAAAACTCAAAAAAAAAATTTAATTATTAAATTATAGTCGCACCTTGTACCTCCCACATAGCAAGAAAATATACATAGGATATACATAGGATATACATCTATGCATATTCGTATATTCGCGAATATCGTATGGATACAGCATGGATATCCATAAAATATGATTTTGTCCTCTATTTGGATATCCATAGTATATCCATGACGTATATCTTATGTATATTCCTGGATGTCCATAATATATCCATGACATATATCAAGTACATTAAAAAACTCGTAATATGGACATTCATAGTATATCCATGATGTATATTCCTGAATATCCATAATATATCCATGGTATATATTATGTATATTAAAAAACCCGAAAATGGATATCCATAACATATTGTTAGGGTATGTAAGAAACATCTTGAAAAACAAAAAAATTTATTTTTTAAAAATAAACAAACAAAAAAAGTATTTTTTTAAATAAACAAAATACAGATGACGCCTCTTGATTTTCCTAAAAATAAAAAAAATATAAATGCACTTCTCATTAAAAAAGAAATAAAAATAAATTCTTATCCATAGGGTAATTCCATTTATTAGCCACCAATGAGTACTATATATATACTCCAATTTTATTTATTTTTTAACTGCAAATAGAAAAGGACGCAAGAAGTGAAAAAAGCTCCCGTTTTCTTTCCCCCCCTAACACCTATTTATACAGGGCTACTCTAAAGTTACTATGCAAACCTAACTTTAAAAAATTGTGCTTCTTTTGCTGATTAATAAAGCTATCGACATTAAACAAACTGTTAATTGTTGAGGAAATATTTCTCTTTTATACCTTATAGGACACATTTAGTTATTGATGGCCTAAATGGTCTTTGGGAATTTTTTAAAAATTCAATTTTTTGGCAAAATTGTCTAATTTTATAAATTCATATATTCTTAGAACAACTTGCCAGCAAAATTTTTTTGATGTAGTTTGTTACCAAAGATTTTACTCTATATAAAAGCAATAAAAACATTTTCGTATTATGCCGGCTTACAGTTAAAAAAATATATTTGAAATTCATGTTTTCGAAAAATCACTATTTTCAGCCATTTCATGGTTTAAAAAGGCTATGTTTGAGTGAGTCGATTTAAACCAATTTATGCTTATCATCACAGGCACTTGTTAGTCTCCAATAGTCATAAATAAAATTATTGTGTATTTTTCTTTTAGCTGGGCTGTGGATGTATATGTCCACCTGTGACTAAATCCATATATTAACCATATATTTCTAAAAAGCGTATTACATCTTTAAAATAACTCGACAGCCTTGAATTGACTTCTAATTAATTCTGAACATATAAAAACCACATACAGTGGCGTCGAAAATTAACTACCCATTTATTTATTTTTTAAATTAATAAAACATAGGTACCTAATTAAATGTACAAAAAATTAATTAAATGACTAAAAGACATACTTATCATCAACTTTATATTTAGACAAAATAAAACAGGTATTAAATCCTAAATTTAAATTAAACCTATAGTTTTAACTGCATATAGATAAATAAACTGAACAAGTCATATTCTTAACTTTTACAATTACCTAAAAAAACCTATTTACTATTTTTTACCTCTAAAAAATTATATGAATCGGAAAATTTTCTTATGTGTATAATGTCTTTCAAGAGGAATAAACTAACGACTTATGTCGTTTAAATGGATCGCAGCAGACTTCACCAAAAATTTTGGTAAAATAATGTAGATACTTTAATTTGTGATACCTACGTACAAATATCGGTTACAGTTGCATCCACTCGCCTTTCTATTAAACCCTTTTCCTCCTTAGTACAAGATTCAATCGCAAAAAATATTTTTTATGGCATTTTTCATTAATTAATTTTCCAACGGGACAATCCATTTTTGGACACTTCAAACTATTTGACACTTTTAAACTTTAGAAAATTATGCTCAATTTAATAATTTATTATTTTGGTTTTTGTTTATTTACAAAAGGTAAAAAATTAGTATGTATACAGTAAGTAGATTAGTTTTTATGAATATGTAAAAATTTCAATATCTTAAAAATATTTTAATTATTAAAACAAAATCTTAAAAATTGTCTCTTACGAATTAGAACTTAAGTGGAGAAAAAACGATTTTTCAAAGGATGGCTACACTGATTCCAGTGTATATTCTAAGCTTATAATATAAAATTTAAAAATTTCAGTAAAAAAAATATATAAAAGTTATACAAAGTATGTCCATAAAATATCCATGAATGGATATACATGAAAGAATGTATCAAGTACATTCATTTATGGACATTTTATAGATATACATGAAAGAATATATCAAGTATATCAATTTTATGGATATACATGAAAAAATATATTCAGTATATCCATAAAATATTCACAAATGGATATACTTAAAGAATATATCAAGTATATCCATAAAATATCCATATCCATAGCATGTTATGTGGGCTACTACTGACATTTTTTTGATCTAAAATTCATCTAATACTAAAGGGTGTCTCAATAGGAACGCCTAATTTAAATTTTGCCATGTTCCTATTTTTTGCATAGTGCAACCTCGAAAATATGATTTCTGTAGTGTAAAAACATTACCATTTTATAAGTCATAGAGCGGTATTTTCTAGAACAACGTGTTACTATTCTTAAGACTCATAAATATGAGGAATGCTATGCTATGATAATAATAATAATAATAATAATAATAATTTTATTCATGTTACTATACAAAAGTATTTACATTTGTCAAAATTATAAATAATATTTGGTTTGAAGACAAACATTTGGCATATTAATTCATATAACTTGAAAAAAACTGAACTATGCTAAATTTAGCTGAATGTACCCCACTCCTAATCTTATCCTAGTGGTGATTTTTTTATTAATAATAAAAAAAGGTTTCATTCACTCGCTGTATACCCGCAGCTTTGCTCATGTGTTTCTAAGGAAAAATAACAGACAAAGTTTTTTGCATCACCCTTTCATTTTGAACCCATTTCATTTTATTTGAGCCCCTTCTAAATGTCGCGCGTAAATAACATTCCTCAAAATGACAGCCGTTAAAATGACAGCCATCAAAATGACAGGTGACTAAATAACAACTGATAAAATGACACCTGTTAAATTGACAGGTTTAAAAATGACAGGTGCCTAAATGAAAGTTGTAAAAATCACAGGTGTCGAATAATGACAGCCTTCAAAATAATATTCGTCAATATGACCATGGAGCCTACACAAGGAGCCCGAACTTCATGTACACAAGAATCTTCCTAAGATAAGAGGGCGCTGGTGTACTACCGGCCCAAAACAGTAGAGGGGTATAACCACTTATTTTTGTGCAAATAATTGAGGTTATGCAACTGTCAGTTTATCGCTTTCTGAAAACAATGTACCCATGTACATGTACCTGGTTTTGTGTATAAAGGTCTTAATTTACAATAAATTTATATCAAATTTAACATTGGAATTCATGTTGGTCTTTCTGATGTAGAGCATAGTGCAGTTTCCGGATCGGGTCTAGACTTGACATTCTATGGATGTCCCAGACCCGTTCGGCCTGGATAAGCCGAGAATAACCTAAATAGGACTTCTCTTTACACACAGCACAGGATGTCCAAAGGACCCAGAGAGACAAACAAATCGATTAGCCTTATTATAAGAGAATCATTTACAAAAAACAGAAGTTTATTATTAAATATAGTTTAAAATATCTATTCGTTCTTCAATCGTTTAAATTATTTAAATGTATATAAACACCGTTATTATAACGTATAGTTTTGAATTTAAAAACATCGGTCTTCTTCGGGTAGAACCGAACGTGTTCGTGACGACGTTTCCCATAATCCGTTGCCAATGGCGTTCTTTTTCTATGATGGCGTATATGGTAGTATTTCTTCTCTGCTCTTTGGTATTTATCGGAATTTTCCAGAGGTAAAGAATGTATTTACGTGCAATTAGTGCTGTTTCGTGCTTTATTAATAATTTTCTTTTCATAAACAACAATTGTATGTTAAAATAAGCAGCTTGAAGATCGTGTTCATGTTTTGTCATTACCAACGTCTCTATAGACATTTTCTTAGAAGTTGGTTGTACCCAAACGTATAATAAAATGGAGAATAAATTCAAGTAAGTAATTTGATTTGGTTTATCTTGACCAGGGTGGTCTTGACTAATAGACTGTACAACAAGCCTTTGTGCTGTAGTTTAGGTAAATAAAAATGTATAGTTAAAAATTTTAGGTGTTTTATTTTTTATTCCTGTCAGCCAAATTATGGCCACATTTGGTCCTAGGACGGTCTTTAATAGACCATAATAGGACGGCCAAAGGCTAACCAAAAGTGTCTACTTTGGAAGTCCTACGGACGTCCATTCGTGGTCTTCGGATATCCGTAGGACGTCCTATATAATATTAAATCCATATGGTATTTAGTTTTAGTTTTATAGGTAGATGGCTTAAATAAAAGTTCAATATATATAAACAAATAAAGGTGGAAATTATTAAATATGCTGTTTACTCATTTTATACATACTTTTTTATTTAAATTATTAAATAGCGGTGTATTTCTAACCTGGAAATCTAATTTTGCTTCTGCAGAGTCGTAAAATCACAGATTATAAAAAATCACTTATATTTCACCACCAAAACCTATTCATTAGCATCTACCTACCAGGTACAGTCATACAGTCATAAATAACAAAACGATTCGTACGTCAAAACATTATTGCAAATCAATTGTCAAAACTTACTTGCTTACTTCACATGTATTTTCGATACTATTTTCACGTCATACGGACGCATCGACAATCAGCGCCGCTGGTG